CTTTTACCCTCAAGGCACGCATTTGCATTGCTTCTGCTGGCCTTCTAAGTGGAGAAAACTAGCAGAGCTGTGCACAATCCCCTGGGTGGGGCTGGCCTGGTTGCTGCCGTGGCCAGACCCTGAAGTGATAGTCACTTGGAGCCCCATTATCTGTAGCTGTGGGCAGCCTCTCCAAGGAGGGAAGAGGACCAGTGTCCAGGCCTTGCTGCCTTTGGTTGAGCAAATAACTGTAAGATTGCTGATGGCTCCCAGCAACGCTTAGAAACAAAATTGGATTGCCTCAAGACGGACCACTGCAGTACAAAGAGCACACAATTTGTAGCATATGCCCTTTTGACACAGAAAGTGCAAGCGTTTTGCAAGACAGGCTGGATGAGCCGCTGTCCATTCCTGGCTGACACACAGCTAAGATGGGTGAGTGCCCTTACTCAGCAGACTGCGTTATTCATCTGCAGCAGATGCCCTTTCTCCTTTCATCCGCCATGCTGACCCTTTTAGGGATCCCAAGAATGCTTCTTCATGTTTCTAAAGTGTCTCTCTACTGAATTAAGCCTCTTGGGACCAACTCATTTCTCCCTCTGAATTACGTACATCTCCCGGCTGGGTCTTGCCTCTGCGGCTTCAGTCATGTCGCAGTACGGGGAGGATGGCTTCATCACAACGATTGCCTCTCTTCAGTAGTGAAGGATCGCAATGGAAAACACCACTGTCTTTTAAGCTGTGGCAACTCTTCCAGCCACAGAAAGTGAGTGATACTGTTATTCTTTTGAGCTGATGAGGAAATAATTTAGTACTTTGGATGCCATTTGGAGATGCACTTTGTTTTCTTGGCCCCAAGTGGACCTGTCTCATTCCGGAATATCCTAACCACTGTAGAATGCCGTGCACAGATGGCGTCTTCCTGTCAGGGCCTTTTAAGTCAGCACAGAGTGTGGAAGAAGGGGAGAGTGACAGTCAGTGAAATGCCCAGGCCAGGAGACCCTTATCCGCCCACTGGCAGGGCGCTGGGCGGCTCACCAGCACTCACTCGCAAGCTCCACTTTAGGTGAGCACACTCTCCCTGCCCACATGGCATTTCTTCTTCTCCAGGCTGTCTGCCCATCCTAGGGGGAGGCTTCAAGAACACTTTTGTATTTCTGCAGTTACCACAGTGGATTAATGAAATACAGAGTTGTTACAATTCAAAGTTGCTGATTGACCACGGCAGTTAGAATATGAATACTTACCAAAATCATATTTAAATTTGTTACACATAAAATGTAATACCACACTATGATAGGGACCGCTACTGATAACATTTTTTTTTTTCCTTTTTTTGAGACAGAGTCTCGCTCTGTCACCCAGGCTGGAGTGCAGTGGCACGATCTCAGCTCACTGCAACCTCCGCCTCCCAGGTTCAAGTGATTCTCCTGCCTCAGCCTCCCGAATAGCTGGGACTACAGACGCCTGCCACCACGCCTGGCTAATTTTTTGTATTTTTAGTAGAGATGGGGTTTCACCGTGTTAGCCAGGATGGTCTCTATCTCCTGACCTTGTGATCCGCCCGCCTCAGCCTCCCAAAGTGCTGGGATTACAGGCATGAGCCACCGTGCCCAGCCTGCTGACAACATTTTTACTCCATTCCCCCCTGCCCCCCAGGAGAGTATAGAAGAAAATATAGACTTCTACATATAGGCACATCCCATTTTCTGTCCTCCTGGCAGGTGAGGTGGTTGTGACATTTCGGGATATTTTAGTATATCCCGTTTTGCTTGAGCAAGTTGTGCCTGTAAATGAAGCACCTAAGTAGGAAGCCCCTAGAAACAAGGCTTTTCAAACCTGAAGCCCTTGGATTCCCAACACCACAGCTGCACTCGTCAGACTGGCACCAGGGGCCCATTTAAGGGCCTCCAAGGTGCCAGGCACTGTGATGGCGCTTAGGGTTCAGCAGTGAGCAAGCCTGGAGTCTGTTCGAGGAGGCGGGGAGTGGACTCATGCTTACAGAACCTCGCAAAAACTGGGGACAGGGTCATAAGGCATCAGGTGCTGAGTCTGGGAGCCAGGGCTTCCGGGAGGAAGTAAACTTGTTCTGAGGCCTAAAGGATTAGTAGACAGCTGAGACCCAGGAGAGGTGGGCAGGAGAGAGGCCTGAGAAGAGGAGAGGCCATGAGAGGACACCAGGGTAAGAAAAGCACAGCCCGGCAGGGCACCTGGAAGAAAGCTGGTGCCACTAGGAACCCCAGGGGTAGGAGAAGGGCCAGTGAGGTCAGTGCGGCCAGTCACAGGGCCAGGTAGGCCAGTCCGATTCTCAGAGCAGTGGGAACCGTTGGAGGTTTTTAAGCAGTCTTAATTTAAAAAACCAAATGACTCTGATGCCACGTAGAGAGCAGAATGGAGCAGACAGGGAAGAACAGAGGGAGGTTTTCTGGTGGGGGTGAGGGTGAGGCGGCCTCGGCAGTGGAGATGAGGACGGTTGGATGGATCTGAGAACTGCTTTCAAAGCAGGATGCCAGCGACACCACCATGGACTGGAAAAGGATGGCGGGGGATGCCAGCGTCAAGGCCACCCCCAGGTTGGGCAGCTGGGGACAGCACTTGTGAGGGGAGGACAGTCCTACCTAGGGCAGTCCTCCTGTCATCCGAGACCCACTCAATTCTGGGTCACATTGAAATGGTTCTCTCTCTTTGACAGCAAGCCACTAAAATATGGGCTCTGCTTCTTCCATCAGCCAACAGAAAGAATCTTGGATTTTAGTCTGTCCTTTGAAAGTAGTGGCCAGGCACCTCTGCCGGAGTTCCTGATTCCAAACCCTTTTCAGCTCTTCGGGATTCACCCTCCAGGTGAGGTGCAGGAATTGATGGCGGAGTGAATGACTCTGGGTTGCTGAGTTGAAGGAAAACGTAGGCACCACTACTGACAGCTCTCACAGCGCTCCTGGGATTTTCCTTCCTTTGACGCTGAGGCTGTTCTGCTTTCAAGCATTCTGCTTTGTGAGGGAACGGCAAGGTCAGAAGGTGCTCGCCCTTTCCACAGCAAGCACGTGGCATATGCGCTCCACACACTGAAGCTGCCTCGGTCGTAGCTGGCTCCTTTGTTAAGGTCAGCACCGCCCAAGGCCACATGCTGTGCAGATAATGTTGGGATCTTGGGAACTGTGGGGTTCCACTTAGAAACTCGTGTGTGGCTCAGCAGCCTACATAGGAGAGTTTGTGGTTAAGGCAAAGAGACGGTTTCGGGGACAGAAACATCATTTTTTTGTGCTCCTGTTGGAAGGCTGCTCACAGCTCCACTGAGGAAAGCCTGCTTGGTGGAAACTCAACTCTACTATCGTCTGCACCCCGATGAGAGGGGAGTCAAAGGCCAGGGAGCTCTGTGCTTTGTTTTGTAGAAATGTGCCTAGAAATGGTCGCCTTGAGTTATTTAACCCACTCCCTGTTGGGCTTTGAGTTTGTTTCTAGTCTTTTCCAACTGCAAACTGCACTTTAATGACCATTCTCACAACTACCTCTTTTCACACGAAAGTCATAACTTCCCTTTGGTAGATTACTAAAAACAAATTGCTGGTTCAGAGAGATGACCAATTCCAAGGCTTCTGATCAGCTTGGCCCAGTTGCTGCCCACAACAAGGTGCCTGCACTCGCCGTGTCCTGGGGTCACCGTTCTCCTGTCAGTTTCTGTACCTAACTGAAGGGGCCTCTTGTTCCTTCTTTTCCCAGACCAGTTTAGGATGTGTCATCGTTCGCTCCCCTTCGTGAGCTCTCATGTTTTATTTCCTTCTCTGCATTCTCAGGTTGCCCTTGGCTTTGGCTTTCCACCTGAGCAGCATGTGGGAAATGTGTTCGCGTGATGAAAGTGTATGTCTGAAGTTCGCCATGAGCTCATCCTAGCCCCAGAGCTAGTGTGCATGCACGTCACTGTCATGTAGATAATTGATGAGCGATTGGTGTTCTCTGAAGCAGTGACAGCCTGGGTGTGTCAGTGTCTCCAAAACCGTCCCATTGTGGCATCCTACAAATGGGCTGAGTCCTGGAAGCTGTTGAGAAGTTATATATCCTTTATGGAGGGTTCTCAGGAATAGCAAATCAGGGAGAATGCTTTGTGAGGCTCTGTAGTGACAATAATAATTTATAAGCAGATAGCCCACATTTTAGCCCTGGTATTTGTCAGTGCTGTACACGCGTCGTGAATTACTCTGGTAGCTTTTCCAGAAAGACTCATGACTTTACCACATTTCTCGAGTTACGATGAAGGCAGAGTCTGGGACCCTGAGTGAGCATTGGATGCTGGAAGCCGGGGGTGGGAGCACTGGGGACAGACTCCAGATGCCTGTGCCACCCCCTGGCCCCATGAGATACATTCTTGAACCTTCCCAAGAAGAATCTGTGGGCTCCTCTCTATGCTGTGAAGTGCAGGGGGCTTCCCTCTGGAATTCAGCCCAGCTCTCCCTCCTTGCTTTGGCTGGCTCCAGATGACATTTAGAGGAAATGTTTGGCCCATTTCCCAGGTGCCAGCTTTTCCCACGAGGAAACTGTCAGTGCTTCCTGGTCAGGGAAATCTTTCGAGAGTGATTTGGTCAGTCACAGTCTGTTGGGGTGAGGTGGTGTGTGGAGAGGACAGGATTTGGAACCAGGGTCCCTGGATTAGAATTCTGCTCCATACCTCACCAGCTGTGTGACCCCAGGCTCGTGAATCTGCCTCTCTTGATCTGTTTCCTCATGAGTAAAGGGAAGTGACTTTGTACTCTGGCGCGGACCTTACTCATTCGTGTGCCCCACGTGGTGCTAGGTGCGAGGGCACACCCCGAGGCACTCAGGAAGCCAAGGCTGCCGTCCCTGGGCTGGGGCCTCCCAGCAGTGATGCTAATTTAGCCCTGGTGCCCCTGTGCCCCAGCTTCCAGACGCTGTGCTTTCCTTCTGCTCTCTCCTGAGAGGCGTGTACCCCTCTGCACCCGGAGCCGAGGAGGGCAGACAGCCCTGGAACCCCGTTCAGGGATGGTAGCCAGGGTCTGTGTTCCCCACAGGTCCCTGGATGTCAGCATGGCAGCCACAAACCTGGAGAACCAGTTGCACAGCGCACAGAAGAACCTCCTGTTCCTTCAGCGGGAGCACGCCAGCACGCTCAAGGGGCTGCATGCTGAGATCAGGCGGCTGCAGCAGCACTGCACAGGTATGCCAGGGAGTGGGCCCGGGGAAGGCAGAGAAGCTGTGGGGCACAGCAGAGCCCAGCATCAGGACCACACTGGGCCTGCCCTGCCCCAGCTCCCATTGCCATCACAGGAGTCCATCCGAATGCCTTATATCACCCTCATTGCATAATCAAGATGCAGTGAACATGAAGCTGCAAAGCCTTTCCTTGGCATGCTGAGGACTTAAGAGATTAAAATACAATGGTTAGAATTTCCAATACGTTTTGGAACCGATAACCAAGATGTAGCCTGTGTGATACGTAGAGCCAGCTGCTGGCTTGTTTTGGATTGTTGGGAGATGTTATGGGGGAGTGGGGAAGGGAGTTTGGGGGAACAGAGGCTGCCCTCTGACCCTAGGAAGCATAGCAGCCATGGATATTTTCTGCTGCTCTCATGCTCGCCTCTCCTGCTGCCAAACCCTGCTCTGTCTGAGCAGGACTCGCTGACCAATCGTGGGAATCGGTTTTGCCTTTTCAAAGCTGATGAAGATTCTGAAATGTACGGTAACAGAATTAATGTGTAACATTTCCCTTTTAGATTTAACATATGAGCTGACACTCAAAAGTTCCGAACAGACAGGTAAGAACTCCTCCCCAGAAGTAAATGACAGTACATTTCCCTTCGTGGTACGTGTCGGTGCCGTTTGTTTTCACTAGTCACACACTGAGAAGAAAACGCTCTTCTAGGAAGAGTTACACGTGTGGCCTGAGCTAAGGAGAGATGAGGAGGCTGTTTGGATCCCTCTGTGTTCCAAGCGGTTATTGGTGGGCAATGGGATGAGTGATTTTGTTTTCTTTTGATTGACACATATATTTGGGGTGACTATTATATGTTTTTGTGAACTTCCTACAATAAACGTGTTCCTTGTATCATCAGGACATAAAAATAGATGTGACTTAAACCCAAAAGGAGGAGGAGCAGCAGCAGCACTGGGCAGAGCCGCCCCCACTCCTCCGTGTCGCCGCCGCCTAGCATGGGCCTGGCACAGAGCAGCTGCTCACTAAATGCTGGTGGCCAAGCAGTCACATTACTAGACAACTCCTGAGGATCCGGGGCTCTCTCTGGACTGCAGCCCCAGAACCTCCCCTCAGCCAGAATCCTCCAGGACCTCAGGGGACCGCAAAGGCCATCTGCCTGATGGCTGCCAGGGAAGAGACAGAAACCCAGGCCTTTCCAGGGGCCTCTGTGCCTGCTGTGAAGAGCCTGCTTCCCAGAATGTGGTGGGGATTTGAAAAGAGCTGAATTCATATTTGTGCAGAGGTGCCTTTTTCTAAACAGGCCTCACAATCGCAGTTATTATTCATGAGAGTGTCCAGTTCTTTGTAAAAGACACGGACCATTTCCACCAAGCCTTAGCGGATCACGAAGCACTGATGTTTTTCATTTGCACTGTTCATATTACAGCCTCCTGAGTGCGCCTTTCAGGAGCCCAGGCATCAATTTGCCTCTGTGTGGTAGGAAAGGCGCCGTGGGCTTCTCAGGGTGCTGGAACAGGAGCCTGTCCCCAGGAGTCTCCCTGTGGAGGGACAGGGACCTCCCCCAAAGCGCTGGGACTGGTGGCTGGGCCTCCAGAAATGCAGGGAAACAGGATTTCAACCTGACATTGGGGACCTCCAGCACCCACACCTGCTATCACTGAAGCCTTGGGAAAGGAGCTCCCTGTGCATGGAAGCCTGGGCGTCCTCGCTGTGTGTCTCCTCCTGGCCCAGGCGAATCTAAAGAAGCACACATCTTGCCCTGTGGCCTCTCCAGTCAGGGTTCTCAACCCCAGGCCCCAAAGCCACCCGCCCACCCACCTGCCTGTTGTAGTGCTCTCAGCAGTAGCCGGGTCCCCACAGCAAGGGCTGGGCCTCAGGGGAGTCTGTGTGAAAAGCCTCTCAGGTGGTTCCAGTGGGGGCATCTCCCTCCCAGTGGTGAAGATCGATGTTTTACATTAGTGCATTCAAAACCTGCCCAGTTCTAAGCAGCTCTGGGACCCGGGGTACAGCCTAGACTCTTGGCTTCCCTCCCCTGGGGCTGTGACCCCAGAAGTCTGGGCGGGCCCTGGGAGTCCACAGGTTTAGATGTGCTACGGTGCCCTCACACCCAGCCAGGCTTAGCAGTGCGTGTTTGGAGACAAGGAGCAGTTGCTGCTGTAGCTCAGTGTGCACAAAGCTTTCACGGGGAGACTGAAATCCCCAGAAAGGGGGTATGTACAGAGGAGGTGGTGGAGTGGAGCTTTCTATATAAAGAGTAAGGAATTGGCAAAACAGGAGGTGCCGATTCCCAGGAAGGACAGTCACCGAAGCAGCTCTCCAGAGCTGGGGATGGAGGAGCAGTCGCGCCAGCTCCTTCCCACAGGACGGCCCACTCAAGTCGGGCCAGCAAACATCAGCTGGGAGCCAAGGCTGCACACAGCTAGATTACGCTCAAGGAAAGAGGATAAGGAGGATGTCTGTCCAGGAACAGTCTCTCAGGATGCTGTGGCCAAAAGAGCCAGAGTGATGTGTAATGCACCCCGATTTGGAGGGGTTATGGGGCCTTAGGCAAGTTCTTTGACATCCCTGAACCTGCATCTTCATATGACAGATGCCCCACAAGTGTGAGTTTCTGGTTTGAACACAAGGGCCTTCTGCCTTTGTGGCCTGCCCCTGTCAGCTGCCCCTCATAGGACATGAGCAAAGCCCAGAGAGAGCCTTGTTCCTGAAGGTTCCAAACATCTGTCAGCCCTTTGCAGCACTGCCTGGGGGAATAAAATCCCAGGATGTTCACACAGGCCAGGGATGTGGTTGAAGGTCTGGGTTGCAGCCTTTCCTCAGAAGGAGGCCAAGGCCCACTCTCCACCTGAGTGTGGGCTGAAAGCAAAGGCCCTACGACAGCCATGGTGGTTGTCCCACAGGCCCTGGGGGAAGGACGGTGGGTTCTAGGCCCGACACTGGGCCCAGGTCAGCATTTCAGGTTGCAGGGGTTCAGCCCAGGTGGCTGAGCTCCTGGGTCTTATGGTGTCTACAGAGTCATATGTTTCTGTGTCTGTCCCCCTCTTTACCTCTGAAACTATGTTTCAGGATCCATTTTCCTTTTGGCAAAAAAAGAGACCTCATGAAAGGTAGTATTGCATGCATCCTTCTTAGGGAGGTCATTTGCTGACATTACACATGATATACTCACATGGACGTTTTATAAAATACAAACTTGCAATGGTTCAACTTAAAATCTTTCAACTACATGGGGCAATACGCATTGAGTCCACTCCTCGACTTATATGTCCAGATAAACGCACGGTAAGCCGAAAATAACAAAAACACACTTTTGACTTACGATAGTTTCAACTTACATTGGATTTTTTGGGACATGACCCCATCCTAAGTCGAGGAGCGCCCATCACCTGCAGTGCCCAGCACAAAACCAGTCCAGTCAGCCATGGGCCTTCAGAAGCTCAGAGTCTGGCTGCTGGACGTGCTGCAGAACTGCTGCTGGCTCAGGCAGGTGGGGAAAATTCAAGGCGGGACAGAGGCCCAGGAAAGCCGTCTGGGGCATCCAGTGTCTAGGCAGGCCCTGGGTGGTGGAGTGGGTACAGAGAAATGGCGTGCATGTCTGGAGTTAGGTCAAGGATGGAGGTTACAGTAGAAACAGAACAAGATGTGGCAGCTTGGGGAGAGATGGAAGCTTTGATTTGTCATGTTTTCTGTGGGAGCAGAAAACATTCGGGACAGATTGAGGAACTGGAAGGCATCTGGCAGTTTGGATTTTATTAGGCAGTGAGGAACCATTTTGAACAGAGGAGAAGAATATTTAGAGGGGTGACCAAGCTTCCTAAATACAGGATGGACTGAAAGGAAGACCAGAGAGGAGGTGGGACCAAGGCCGGCTGCAGGGCAGGGAGGGCCCAGGGAGGGGACGAATGCACTGAACAGCCGGCAGAGAGGCACTGTCAGGGAGGGGAAAGGCCGGGATGGCGAGTGCAGTGTCTCCATCCAGTCTTCCTGGGAGTCAAAACGCGGGAAGCAGAGCAGCCCTCTGGACTTGAGGGTGTGTCTCACAGCCCCTCACTTGGAGAAGTGGTGCTCAGGAGACACTGAGTCAGGAGTTAACATTCAAGGTGAGTTCCAGACCAGCAAGGAAGAATCTAGAAAGAACTTCCTAGGGGCCAGACAAGGAGCATGGCCAGCCAGGCAGCGTTAGGAGGAGCAGGACAGTGACCCAGGGTTGGGAGCCAAGGGTGCTACGTAAGGTGACCAGGGACTGCAGGTTGCCAGAGGAGCAGGAGAAGGAGGCAACTGGCATTTGCTGAAGGACTGGGTGAGGGCAGGGACAGCAGGAAGAGACCTGAGGTGTTAGGGCAGGGGCAGCAAAGAGCCAAGGGCAAGAGCCACAGAGAGGAGGACAGCTCATTCTCTGAGCAGAAAGTGAGAGAGAGAGAGAGAGAGAGTGTGTGTGTGTCTGTGTGTGTGTGTGTGTGTGTGTGTAAGAGGAACAGAGAGAGGGAGAAAGAGAGGAGGCCAGTGGTAGAGCAGAGGTGACAGCCCCACACCCCTTCTCCTATTAACATCAGAGTTTTAATGCAATAGACATGGACAATTATTTTTACATTTGAGTTTCAAACAGTGCATTGAATGTAGCAGGCATTTCATAAACACCATCTGAGCAGACAGAGGGATTTGCTGCCAGTTTAACCCTAAGTGTTTGGTGAGGTCTAATACTCTGCAGTTGCCTGTTTTAACTTCAGCATCTTTAAGGTTTGGAGACATTCTTTTATGTAGTAAGCCAGAGAACTAAGAGCTGGAAAGGGCCTCAGAGATGCCCTGCTCTCTCTGCCTTGGGGTGGGAGGGGCCTTTCCAGAACCCGCACAACCCTGCCTTCTGCATGGCCCCCACAACCTACACAGGGCTCTCTACCAGAAAGGTCCACCTGCCCCATAGAGGCCTCACCACTCAGCCTCAGCCTGATGAGTTCTTCACCTGCTTCCTTGGCTTATTCTTGTAGGAGACGGGACTTCTAGAAGCAGCGAATTAAAGAAAAGATGTGAAGAACTGGAAGTCCAGCTGAAAATGAAAGAGAAGGAAAATGCTGAGTTGTTGAAAGAACTGGAGCAGAAAAACGCGATGATCACGGTTCTGGAGAACACCATCAAGGAGCGGGAGAAGAAGTACCTGGAGGAGCTGAAGGCCAAGAGCCACAAGCTGACCCTGCTGTCCAGCGAGCTGGAGCAGCGTGCTGGCACCATCGCCTACCTGACCTCCCAGCTGCATGCCGCCAAGAAGAAGCTCATGAGCTCCAGCGGGACCTCAGATGCCAGCCCGTCAGGGAGCCCCGTACTGGCCAGCTACAAGCCAGCGCCCCCCAAAGACAAGCTGCCCGAAACACCTCGCCGCCGCATGAAAAAGAGCCTCTCGGCCCCCTTGCACCCAGAATTTGAAGAGGTCTACAGATTCGGGGCAGAGAGCAGGAAACTCCTTTTGCGGGAACCAGTGGATGCTATGCCTGACCCCACCCCATTTCTGCTGGCCAGGGAGTCTGCCGAGGTCCACCTCATCAAAGAGAGGCCCCTCGTCATCCCCCCCATCGCCTCCGACCGAAGCAGCGAGCAGCACAGCCCGGCCCGCGAGAAGCCACATAAGGCCCACGTCGGGGTGGCGCATCGGATCCACCACGCCGCCCCGCCGCAGGCCCAGGCTGAGGTGGAGACGCTGGCGGTCGACCAGGTGAACGGAAGCAAGGTGGTAAGGAAGCACTCGGGGACGGACAGAACTGTGTGAAGCCCACCAGGCCCACCCCACGCTGTCCATGCACTGTGAGCACTTCCAGGAAGTCTCAGCCACACCTTTTGTCTCATTCCCATGCATGCCAAACTCTTCACCCTGCCGATCAATTCTCCTTCTGCTCCTCTTGCCCTCTTCTTGACACCAAAATATGACCGTGCCCCTGCTGCAGAATATGTATTTCCTAACTGCTGTGGCCAAACGCCTGTGTGCCGAATAGCTTGCTCCTCATCTCGCTCCGTGTAACCTAAGTGCGCTGCGGACAAAGCTCAGGCCACAGCTGCCTCACGCCAGATAGTCACATGCCTCATTCATTCTCAAGTCAGAACAACAGACCAACCTTGACGTTATCCCTGGGCTCCAGGGCAGCCTGGCCGAGCAGCCCCTGCTCCCTCCTGGAGACCCCTGTCACCTCCTGACCAACCTTTCCCAGGGCGGCACCGATCACTGAGCACCTGTGTGTGTCTCAAGGGACTAAATAAGATGACGCTACTCCTCACAGCACCACAGCCTGAACGTGTGTTCATATTTTTTTGTTAGTTTTATCCAAAATATTTAAGATCCCAACAAACTTTATTTTCTAAACCTGCCTTACCTTCTGTTTTGTGTCTTTTATTAAACCACCTGGGGGCTAGGAGGACACTGCCAGAGGGGGAGCAACAGCAGGTCCCAGAGGCGACTCCTGCCCGCTCCCTGCCCACAGCTAGTCCTGGGAATGTGCTGTGCTCCTGAGGCTCTGTGATGGCCTCCACCACTGTGCTGCCCGAGCTAGCCCCTGCCCTCCCTCGGGGAGTGAAGCCACCCCCTCACCTCCAGGTGGCCAGCCTCATGGTGCACAGAGAAGAGGTGCCCAGTGACCACTGGTCCTGGGGGTTCCATGTCCTCACCCAACCCCACACAGACCCAGGCAGGCAGGGGGTAGAATCCGGTGCAGGAACTAAACACCAAGTTCAACAGCCTCACAGTCACCCTGGCAGCTCAGAGCCAAAGGAGCCAGGGCCAGAGAGTTCTAGAAGGAGGGGAAGTGGCTGCAGGTGACTCTGGCCACATCTGCTCTGGGCCCGACATCATCAGTCCTTCTTACCAAAAAGGTGCATCTGCTGAAGCAGACCAGGATGGCAAAAAAACACACCTTTGGAAATTTATATTAGGATTCTCACTTGTGCCAATGCGATGCATGTCAGGCACTTTTACCTAATCAAGTGTTGTCTGAGAAGGAAAAGAAAACTCCACACATCTTAAAATACTCTCCAGTATTTACTTGTTGATTATATAGATTCCTTTTAAAATAGCATTAAAAACAAAACCGTTCAGGTTAGTTTGTATGGAAAGAGATTTAAATGGCCGATTTCAAATGAAAAATCAGTTCAGTTCCTCTCCCGCCTCTTGAGAGGCCCCAAGAAATGACAGCAGACCCAGTCACTCTTCCTGACCAGCCCCAGATTCAGAATTCATGAAGCAGTTTTCTTCGCCCAAAGGTTAATCAGAATTCAGGGTGAGGCATACTCCTTGCAGCACCCAGTGAGAAATGTGCCTCGTGGTAAAGAGATCAGCTTCAAAGACCAAGCCAGCACCCATGGCGTTCCTTCTCATGGAGGTGGTGTAGACAGGGGTCCGGAAGGTATTCTGCAAAGGAAAGGCAGGTGAGACACCCCCTTGGAGAGAGGGTGGAGGGGGTGAAGGTGCAGTCTTAAAAGTGCTTGACAGGCAGGGGGCCCTCGTGCAAGACTGCATCTGAGAACACACATGGGGCCGGGGCTTCGCAGGGCCGCCCTCCACCAGCTTCACGGACACCTGGCTTCACACAGAGACACTGGTTAAAAGTAGGTCCTGGCCCAGGCAGAGCAGAAGGCATCTGCTGTCCACACCAGAGGAAACCACTTTATGACTCAGGCAACGTCTGCAGCATTTCACAAGAGGGCAGGGAGTCTCCCCTTGGTTAGTCTAGACCACAGGATCACAACTTGAGCCTGCTACCTGTGGAAAGATAGCATCCACGCACGTGCACAACCACGTGCCTTTCCCGGGAAGCGGCTCTCTGTAGCTTTTATCACGGTTCCAAGACTCCCCCCAGCCCATAAAGCTCAGGCACCCTTGTTTGAAAAAGGAGGACTATTGGAACCACCTCAGCGATAACTACAGTCAGAAGAGGAAGGTCCCTGGTGTCAGAGAGGAGGGGCTGGGCCTTCACCTGCAGCTTGAGGCGGTGGGCTTCAATAGGGATGATCTTCAGGATCGGCAGGTCCACAACCAGCACCTTGGGTTTGCTCTTGATAAGACATCCTTTCTCTATATCCCAGTCAGCACCCTCCAGGTACAGCCCTGAGACAAAGCATCCTAGAGACACAGGGGAGAACCTGGATACAAACGGAGCATCCACGGCCCGCCAGGAGTGGCTCTATCAGGTGCACACACAGCAACACACAGGCCACTGGCTGGCTTCCTTCCCAGCACACCGGGACACAGCCCAGGCCCTCTTCCAGCACTTCTGTCCTGCCCACCCTCCCTCTGTGGAGGAGCAGCCCAGGCAGGAGACCCCATAGCCCTCCTCCGTGGCCCAGAGAAGTGGGTGCTGTGTAGTGGCCTCTCCCCCAGGAATGAGGCATCAAGGCACACGCACTTAGACCACCCTGGGCCCTGAGGCTGCTACCAGAGTCAGAATGGGCACCATGGCAACCCCAGCTACACTGTGAGCCGAAGTGGCTTCGGAGCAGGAATTCGAAGCCTCACAAAGTGGTCTCCAGGGAGGAGGACCCAGAAGACGTGCAGAGAGAGGAGCATGCTCATGTGGCCCCAGAGAGGGCAGCAGCCGGGACACCTGCCAGATCCCCTGCCACTGGGACCTGGGAGAGTCCCTACATCTTTACCACTAGCCATCTCAAAAGAGATTTTGTTCCTTGTAGTTGAGTGAACTCTAAGACAACATGGCCCCAGGAAACAGCAGCTTCCAGCTCTCATGTGCACAGTCAGTAACCAGTGTCCAAGAGATGAAGTTATGGCATAATTTAAGAGTTCCAGCCAAGTTAGTCCACACTGCTTGGTGGCTCCATGCCCCCGTCCCTGTCAAGGGTTACAGGAAAGCCACCTGATGGTTTTTGCAAGAGCTAATTCTGACCTAGGAGCCCACTTCCCATGAACTAGCAGAGTGAACGTGGTTCAGGTCTCCCCTGCCATTGAGGGGGTCTCAATGGAGAAACTGGAAGAGAAACTTCCATATTCACCCTCAGAGGTGTTAAGATACGGGCAGTCCGCAGACACAGGAAATCTTTGCAGCAGGCTGGCTTTCAAACATGGCCTGGCCCATTATGGCCCACACTATGCCTGTCCCTTTGACTTGGAGGTGGCTCAAGGGGAGAGATCCTAAGTGAGAGGCTGTGGATCCCTAACGAGCTGACCGTACCTTGTCCCGCCCGCTCATTCACTTCATCTGCATCCTGGAACTTGGTCACTTGTGTGAACAAGGTGGAGCGGTCCAGTGGCCAGCCATTCTTCCGGCAGGTGGCCTGCACCAGCGCCGTGAGGTAGGACTCGGGGATGTGCAGCCCCGAGAGCCACATCACGCTGGGCTCACTCTCAGTAACCTGGGGAGAAAAGAGGGCAAGCGCTGGGAGGCTGGGGCTGCCATCCACTGCCAGGGCAAAGCTGGCCTGGGAGCTTAGTTTATGATAAAAGACGTGTTTTACCTGAGTGGCCAAAGACAGCGTTGGGACAACTGGCAGCCTGTTTGAGAAAAGCAACCTGGACCGCCACGTTCCAGGTAGATCAAAGATTTCAATATAAAAGGAAAATCATCAAAGAACCAAACCACATCTCCAATGAATGCTTTCATACCGTGGAGTAGGAAATGCAAAGCCCAGAATAAGAAAGAAAAGCCTTGCAGGTTTGACTATATAAAAATGCAAAACTTTTCTATGGAAAAAATACTGTAAGCAAAGTCAAGACTGAAGACAGGCTGGGAGAAACATCTGCAACACTAGCAGACCAAAGGCTAATTTCTTTGATATGCAAAGAGCTCTTAAACATCAATGAAAAGGAGACCTCACTAAAAATTAAATCCAGATACAAAAAGACAGTTCACAGAAAAAGAAACACAAAATGTCTGTAAAGCATGTGAAATACGCTCAGACCCAGCATAATTAAAAACATGCAAAGCAAAACAATGAGCTATGATTTTCACCTGTTAGGTACGCAGTGTTGCAGAGCGGTGAGGAAATAAACACTCATACGCTGTGTCTTTCTAACAATCCAACAAGCGCTAGCAGAATTTACATGCACACGCTCTTTGATCCAGCTCTTCCCCTGCCAGAATTTACCCATGGAATTCACCCCTATGCATATTCATAGACGTGCACCAGAATGTTATTTGTATTAGCAAAAAAAAAAAAAAATATGGTAACCACCTAAATGTAGGCGGTTACCATATTTTTAGGATACAGAAGGAGGAGAAAGGATGTGGAACATTTGTGCAATGGCATACTCTAAAAAGGAACGAGCTCGCTTTCTATGTACTAATATGGAGAAGGGCCAAGATAAACGCTTTATAACATAATCAGGTGTGTATAGTACGCTTCAAAGTCCCGAAAATAAAAAAAGGAAAAACAAAAGATACAGATATGCTTGTAAGAATCTCAGACCATTCCCAGAGCACCCAGTAAACTTTAACAGAGGCTACTGCTGGGGAATGGAAAGGGGATTGGGAGGTGGTCTGAGGAAGTCTAGGTTGACAGACGAGGTGGTGATGTGCCACTTACCCACAGCATGTACTGGCTGAACCGCCGCAGGAAGTAGACCATCCAGTTTCCAAGGGACTTCAACGTGTCAGGAGCAAGCTTTCTCCAGATATTAGGGATATTCCCGAGAAAAAGAGACCTGGCCACATCATCTAACTCATTGCTCATTCCAACTTCTCCAGCCAAGGCCTGTTTACAATCAAGAGCAATCGGGCAAGACTCGGTGAGAACCCCAGGTGCTACCTATCTAGGCGGTAATCTGCACGCGAGAGGCAGGCTTACCCTCTGAAGCTCAGCCAGAGACTTGCTCATCCGGACCACAAGCTTGTTGAAGCGTTCCAGCTCCTGCAGGAGCACCACCGACGTCGGGGAGATTCCCGTTCCGAGGCGCTTCCTCACCTGGTCCAAGTCGAAGACTTTGGGCATCTTGTTTTCTATGTCTTTGGCCACTTGGCCAATATAATCATCGCGGCTGATGCCACTGCTGGATTCCCCTAAAACCAGGACACTTTTCAGAGAAAGCAAGGCATCTGTGTGCAGAACCGGGGCCTCCTGAGCCTGCCGGTTCGGGGAGAGGCATCAGCAATGTGGGAGAGCTACAAGAAACAATCGTTAAAACCCCAATCAAACTAATGACATCGTCTGGAGCAGAGTTTACCTGTCTGAGGCTGCAGCTCCAGCAGGTGAGCCCACATGTCCCGAGCTGCCTGCGTGTAATAGCCAATCTCAGCGTTGGAGTGGAGACCAAACACTTCTGGCGTGTTGGCAAGCGGGAGGGCCTCAATGGCTTCTGCAATCACAGAGAACCACGGAGGTGGCACTGTCCAGCCACTTTGCTTTCTTAGGGCCCACAGCTTCAAAGTCCCCAGACACGCAAGACTAATTTCCACTGTGTAGAGGGCAACTTTTTTTTTTTGAGACAGGATCTCAGTCACCCAGGTTAGAGTGGAGTGCAGTGGCATGATCACAGCTCACTACAGCCCCGATCTCCTGGGTTCAGGCATCTCTTCCATCTCAGCCTCCCAAGTAGCTGGGAGTACAGGTGTTCGCCACCACATTCAACTAACTTTTTTAATTTTATTTTTTTGTTTTTTGTGTTTAATTTTCTTCTTTTTTTTTAGTAGAGATGGGATCTTGCTTGGTCTTGAACTCCTGGGCTTAAGTGATCTGCCGTTCTTGGCCTTCCAAAGAAGGGATTACAGGTGCAAGCCACCATGACCAGCCAATGCATGTTTTTAATGTAAAAATTCTACACTACCACACCCAATCCAGATCTTTTATGAAAATGGTTCAGTGAGCTTCACCATGGCCGCTCTGCCCTTCCAGGTGGAACCTGATTTACTGACCATCATTCCAGGACGGGAAATCTGCACTCTATCAGCTCTGCAGCCAGGAGGCATCTGCGAGCCACCTAACAGGCTGAGCAGACCACACCTGACCAGCTGAGGAGCCCGTACCAGGAGAGGAACCAGCTGAAATGCACGGTATCCCTTAGAAAAAGCCTCGAAAATAGCTTTTTGTGTCTGAGAAATCTCACCAACAAATTTCTCCTTTTCGTCACCAGCAGGGATTTTGTAGTCCACTTCCTTGTTCCGGAAGAAGTGGAACGGCTGGAAAGTATCAAAAATGAAGTCCCCCAGGTACTCATCCATGTAGATGGTCAGGATGCGGCGATCAAAGCTGTCGATAGCCCGTCCTCCATACATGACCTGAAATTAGAGGGCCCAAGAGCCAGCCAGGGGCTCAGAACCTACTGTGCGCATCCTGGGGGCCCAGGGCCAGAGACTCGCCCAAGGTCAAGAGGCTCCTGCGGCCTGAACCTGTGGACCTGCATCATTTGTGGGGCCACTGTTCACACAAGTGTTCTGTGGCTTTGCTGGCTTCCCAAGGGACAGGGCCCAAAGCAGGAGGCAGCCCTCATGGAGTGCTGGGAGCCCCTGTGCCGCAGGCACAGTCCCCAAAACACATCGAACAAACAGCCGAAGAAGCCAGCAGCTGCTTCTGTCTTTGGAATTGATGTCACTGCCTGAGCCACATGCAGACAACCGGGAGAGCTTCCTGTGAGCTCAGCCTACGGAGCCAGGTGAGGCAAGGGTCTAGAGGACGCCTGGCCTGAATCCCCAGCCATGGATCCAGCTCAGGGAACCTCTGTGTGAACGGAGCTCACTTAGGACAAAGAACAATCGGTGAGAGTGGGGAGAATGTCACAGAGACCCAAGGAGCAGGGGCAGAAGAGGCTGGCCCTGAGGGCTCAGAGGAAAACAGGGGCATGAGGCCACAGCTCTGCAGCCCCAGAAGCACCTGCAGAAGGATCCCCAGGCACCCCTACCTCTCCAATTAGGTACTTGAGGCTGCCCCACGGGATCCTCGGGTCCCGTTGCTGAAAGGCTTTCGTTAAGTACGTGTTCAGAATTTCCATGCAGACCTTAAAAGAAGAAAACACGCTCATTATACTGAAACCACCAAGCTGTTCACGTTCTGAAAAGGCAACCCTGCTGTGGCTGAACTGGAGGAAAGTCAGGGAGGCGGCCGGCCGCCTAAGGAAGCTGTTTCCAAGGAGAGGCAGCGCCGTCACCTGGAAGTCAGACTCATTGAAGTCATAGTACACGTTCCAGCCAATCTTCCCAAACTTCCTTCTCTCCTGCACCACAGCATGGAAGAACGCCAGCACGTAGACCAGCGGCTTGAAGGCAGGGTGCGGGCACTGGTCCAACATTTCGTGAGAGATCTTGAAGTAAGTTGCCCTCATATTCAGTTTCAGCCCATTGGGCGGCTCGGTGACAACCTTCAGAAGAGAAGAAAACTAACTGTGATGGAAACGGCAGGCCCACGAGCTTCGAGGAGGGTGCAGAATGTAGGCTCTTGGCTTTCCCTTCATCTTCATGTAGCCATCTGTCCAAGACCTCCAACAGCTAAAGTCTCTTGTCCAGGGCCCAGGCTAAGAAGTGAAAGGACATGTCTAGCTCTCAGGGTCAAAGGTCTTTGACCTCCTCTGAACCATGAGATCCTTTACTATAAAATGAAAGTCAAGGCTGGGCGTGGTGGCTCACGCCTGTAATCCTATCACTTTGGGAGGCCGAGGCGGGTGGATCACGAGGTCAAGAGATCGAGACCATCCTGGTCAACATGGTGAAACCCCGTCTCTACTAAAACTACAAAAAATCAGCTGGGCATGGTGGTGCATGCCTATAATCCCAGCTACTCAGGAGGCTGAGGCAGGAGAATTGCCTGAACCCAGGAGGCGGAGGTTGCGGTGAGCCGAGATCACGCCATTGCACTCCAGCCTGGGTAACAAGAGTGAAACTCTGTCTCAAAAAAAAAAAAAAAGTCAAGTCTTCCCTCCGCCTCCCCAGAGAGAGAGGGGGGACGCAAAACCTCTCCAGAATAATTCCCTGGAGAATAAATTAAATGGGGTGTGTAAACCACCCGAAACTTCGGCTGTCAGCACTAGAGTCCTGCAGGCTGCGGGTGGGCCCATGAACTTATGAGCAGCAGCCTAGATATTGTTAGGGACACATGCAGAATTGGTAGAGACAGGCCCGGGAGTCACAGACACCAAACCCAGGACAGCGGCTCCCTCTAAAGAGAGAGAGAGGTGGGGTTGAGAAGGGTTTCAGCCACAAGGTTTCAACTGCACCCTGGGGCTCATTTCTACACACACACACGCGCCCCACCCCACCCCACAGCAAAATGGTAGTGATCTGAGAAGCTGGGTGGTGGGCATGGTGGTGTCCGTCCTGAAGCAGACCTTTAGGGACTTCTGCAGAATCCCAATGGGGAAGCCCCTGGTGGGGTCCGTGGTGAGCCACAGGCGGAAGTCTGGGTGGGGCTTGGTGATCCTCTCCAGAGACTTCTCCAGTTCTTTCAGCCACTTGACCAGGAGGTGGCAGTTCTGCAGCATGAGCCACTGCCCCCGAGCCACTGCGGTCCCCAGCAGCTGCAGGGCCACCTGCACCAGGGAGAGGGCGGAGGAGAAGGGTGAGTTGCTGCCCAAACCCAACCCGGTGCTCTTCAGAGACCCACTCCACGCCCACGGAAAGGCGATGGCCAGCTCCAGCAGAAGCCAGAAGAAAGCCAAGGATCCAGGCGCTACAGGGGGAGCCCTCAAAGAAACCATCTTTTAGAAACCCCATGGGCCCCATGGGTGCACTGAGCTGGTCACACACAGCCCAGAAGATGGGTGAGCGTTTTGCATTCATCAGCCTCCCTGGCCTGAGAAGACCCAACTTCTCCCACATGGTCACTCCTGTCCCCTGAGGCATCCTGAGCAGGGCTGCAAGAGAACAGCTAAAGCCCACCAGGAAGTAGGGACCGTCCTGGCCACTGTAGCATCTTCAGGGGCCTAGGCCTGGAAAACAATCACCATGTTCCCTCCCAAATGTAATTCAAAGCACAAACAAGCTAAACACGCACAGCAAGTCTTGGTTTCTGAAATGGCTTAAAACTTACATGAGTGCTGACGTTACAATAGCTTCTTTCAGGGTTGAGAGAGCTGGCCCGCCTCGCAGGTGCCCGGGGCTTGCCTCCTGCGCCATCCAGCATGGGTATTGCCATCCTCATCTCACCCAGGGCTTCCAGCAGCAGAGGGGCTTAGCCAGAGCCTCGCAGACAGTTCATGGCAAAGCGGGGACTGGCAGTCAGCTCCCTCTGACCCCAACACGCGTGCCTGCGACCGTCACACTTACTGACGCACAGGCTCTTCCTGCGAGCTTTGTCTCACATTGTACTGAACTTGCATAGGGAGTTCTAGCAGGAAGCATTGTGATGCAGAGAGGCAGGACCACAGCAAAGAAAGCTCACGGGCTCAGAAGGGTAGGAGGACTCACGCCCCAGTTCTGTCCCAAATGGTCCTGGGCTCAGCCTCTCTCAACCCACTCCCTTGGCCGTGTAGCTGGGGGCATAATAATCCTGATCCACAACGGGGATGTTTCAGGGACTATGGGAGGTAAGGACTGTGTGAAAGGGCTTTGGAAGCAGCACAGCCTGGGCGCTGCGGATCATGCTTGTGATCCCAACACTTTGGGAGGCTGAGGTGGGAAGATCACGTGAGCCCAGGAATTCAAGACCAGCCAGGGCAATATGGTGAGACCCCTTCTCTACAAAAAATATATATATAAAAAAAATTAGCCAGGTGACATATGCCTGTAGTCCCAGCTGCTACTGGGGAGGCTGAGGCAGGACCATTACTTGAGCTCAGGAGGTGGAGGCTGCAGTGAGTCATGTTCATACCACTGCACTCCAACCTGGGTGACAGAGGGAGACCCTGTCTCAAAAAGAAAAGAAAAAGGGGAAAGAAGAAAACAGCACAGCACCATGATCACAACACGAGGTTGTGAAGCCATAGCTATCACTGTCACCTTTCCAACACTTCATGACTGCTTCTTAGATCGGAAATGCATCCAGTTTATCTGTGGCGTGGCACACTCAGCTTAAATCCAGGTTAGCTCCTCCTTAGCAGACACCAGGGACCTCCCCTACATGGAGAGCTAGTTTCTTCCAGCCACAAATTACCTTTTCTTGACCTTGACCCATTGCAAGGAATTTGAGGCGATTTCCTCCAAAACCACTGCGCTCCGCTAATTTCATAAGATCACTGGCAGGGTCAGAGCCGGGACTCAGGATAAACACGATGGGCGAATTTGGAGTGCTCTGCTCAAAAATAGCTTCAAAGCTGATCATTGGGGGCTGCACGTACCTGGTGAAAGAAACACAGAAAACTGTCCAGGGAGGACAGCTCCAGACCACAGGCTGGTCTGATCAGCGGTCTCCTCCAGAACCTTCTGACCACCCCTCTGGGATAGCTCTTTGTAGTCTTCCCTGCTTTAGATTCCAGTTTCTACGCACGTCTCCCACCCTGATGGGCAACTCCTGGATGACAGGGACTTCTCTGCACGCCCTGCACACTTGATTCAGTCGGTTTGTGCTGAGCTGGGTGCCTCAGCTTGCCCTCCAGGTGGACCTGCCCATGGCAGCAAACCCTGAGGTTCCACACCAGCAGCTCCACAGGCGTGTCCCGGATGGTGCACATCTTGAGTTTTGAGTTTTATGTGTGGGTTTTTTTCTTCGTTTTTAAATGTAGAGATAGAATCTTACTCTGTTGCCCAGGCCTTCACTATAGGTGTGTACCACCACACCTGGCTAATTTTTTTTATTTTTTATTTTTTAGAGGCGGTGTCTTGCTATGTTGCCCAGGCTGGCCTCAAACTCCTGGCCTCAAGCGAACCTCCCGCAACAGCCTCCTGAAGCGCTGGGATTACAGGTGTGAGCCACCGCACTTGACCCAGATATGCATTTTAAAATTCATTGCCAACACAAAAATATTGGGAGATTTCAGGTAAAAATCTGAAGTCCTAGCTTCTTTCAGAGTCAGAGGACCCAGCCACTTTGGGTTCCCGACAGCACATTTTATCAGTCAGCAGGAGCTAAGGGCAGCTGCCCAGGGACCAGGACCCGGGCACCAGGACCCAGGACCAGGGACCAGCTGCCCAGGGACCAGCCCTGCTGGCTGCAAGGGTACATCTGAGCCATAGCCCCACGCTCTCTGCCCGGCCTCACACCCCATGCTAGAGCTACACTGTCCAGTGCGGTGGCCACGAGGCACACGTGGCTACTCAGCACTTAAAATGTAGCTAGCCGCAACTGAGATATGCTGTAAGTGTGAATCCAATTAGATTTTGAAGACTTAATACCCAAAAAAGCATGTAAAATGTCTCAATCGTGTTCCTATTGATTATACATTCAAATGATAATTTTAATATATTCAATTAAATAAAACACGTTATTACAATTAATTGCGCCCATTTCTTTTCTAATGTAGCTACTAGAACTTTTGAAACTGCATATGTGGCTCACATCAAATTTCTTGCAAATAGCGCTGTTCTAGAATACTGAAGAATTCTAGAATATTGGCTATCAAATATTGCACAGACAGGGTGACAGCTGTCTCGGGAGCTGGTCAGCCTGCGTGCTCTGAGTCCAAGGTGGGAGGATGCTAGAGAGTCCACCCCACGGAAAGTGGCAAATCAACAAAATGACACTTACTTCTCCCCCATCGTTACAGTCACATAGTCAGTCACTGCCCGATAGACCCGATCCACACGGAAACAGCGCAAAATGAGCAACTTCTGGAAAGGGGTGAGGTTCTTATCGTAACCCAAGGGGAATGGAAACTGCTCCAATGAATCCAGGTCATACCACTGGGAAAAGCAAAGAATATTCATGGCGCCATCAACTCAGAAATGACAGAGGTCCCCATTTGTGTGTGAAGGTGGCAAAAGCCATCGGAAAGGGATGAGAATCTATAGGTGTAGAACTGAAGGCACCTGGTCAGATCTGTCATTCCCCACCCCCAAAGACTATGAAATTCAGAAAGGAAGGAACTGAGTCTTATTCACCGAGTCCCCAGTGCCCATCAAGGGACATGGTACATGGTAGATACCCATAACTATTTCTTGGATGGATGGGTGGGTAGGTGGATGGATAGGTGGGTGCATGGGTGGGTGGATGGATGGGTGGGTGGGTGGATGGATGGACGGATGGAAGGATGGGTTGACAGGTAGATGGTTGGATCTCCCATACACCTAGCTGAATTAGCCAAGGGAGAATTCCAACCAGGGAGTTAGAGGGCATTGATCACACACTGAATGGATGACTCGAAGGAGTGTCTTCTTTGAAGGAGTTGGGCCACAGTTCAGGTTTGGAGATTGTGGACATGTGGGAAAGAAGAGGAGGAGAAAGGGAACGTGTGCTCACCTCCTGCCAGACATTCTGATTATTCTCCACGTCATCAGGAAGTTGCCCGAAGTTGTCTGAAAACATTTCTGATAAAAGAACGATATCTTCCCATCCTTGGTCGGACAGCCAAGTGCAGGGCTTTTTTCTTTTGCTTTTCTCCAGGGAAATGTTTCCTAATCACAACAGAAGAGAAGCAAACAGCCATTGCGCTGCTGACACAAAGCAAGCAACTCTGCTTTGACTTCTCTCACTTTTGGAAAAAGTCCACTTCTCAAGGAGACTGGAAAGAGGAAGTGGCCTGGGCTTGCCCTTGTCACCGCCAGCGACACCAACCCGGCGCTCACTGCAGCATCCAGCTTCCAGCCTCAGGGTGGCCCCGAGACAGAGGCTGGCTGCTCCGAGTTCAACCAGAACCACTTCTGAGGCTGGAATGCTCAACTGGAATAATGAAAAATGCAGTGCTGTTGGAAGCCAAGTTTTAAGGAGAATTTTTGTTCTTGTTTGTTTTAATGGACAAACTTATATACATGTATCGTGTGGGCAAGGAGACAGGAAGAATGAGGCTAGGCAAATTCATTACCTTTCAAAAAGAAATCTAATTCTTCTTGAGGGACTCTCCCTTCTGCTTGTTCTATCTTGATGGTCATATTAAAGGAAAAGAGTAGTTTGTGCCTCTCAAACAGCCCTGGAGGGAAACATCAGGTGAGTATTGATTTCTTAAAATTCACTTTAAAAAACTGAGTTTCTTATGCCCACTGTGCTTAAATGTAAGTGAAATAAAATGAAACACTCAAACTGGGTATGGGTGCATTTAGCCCTCTTTGCACCTCATGTCCACAAACATCTAAGTGCAGAAAACATGAGCTCAACTCCAGGTCATGCCCAAGTGCAGTCTGCAGTGACATGCTCCTGTATGTAACGGAAATGGCTGTGACTACAGGAGGCACAATCACACCGTCCTGGGAAGAGGAAAAGCCAGTGAGGGCTGGTACAGAAGGGACACAGAGCCACACTCTCAACTGAAGGCGGGCTGTTTGCCTGACTCCAGTGTGCGTGCCTGTCTATTAGGGTCTGGAAGAAGTGTTGGCAAACTTTCTACAAAGGGCCAGATAGTAAATATTTTTGGCTTTGGAAGCTAGATGGTCTCTGTCATAACCACTCAACTCTGCCATTGTAGTACAAAGGCAACCACAGACAACATGTATACAAATGGATATGGCCCTGTTCCAATAAAACTTTATTTACAAACGCAGGCAGTGGGCCAGATTTGGATGCTGGCTGGGGGTCTGCCAACCTCTGTTGCAGAGGATGCACACTCCATCAACAGACTCTTTATTGATGGATGCAAAATACCAGCTTTCTTCTTTTTTGCTTTTTAACAGAAGACATGTGTTCCTGGGAAAAAAAAATGTGAAAGTCAAAATTTGTGATTTGAATTCTACTTTATAGGTGTACAAAGTATTGACTGTATTGGAGACAGGGTCTTTAGAGAGCTGTTTAAGTTCAAATGAGGCCATTAGGGTGGGTGCAGTCCAACCTCACTGGTGTCCTTATACGAGGAGGAAGTTTGGACACACAGAGACGCCAGGGATTTGCAAACAGAGAAGATGGACCCTGTGCGGACACAGCTTCGAGACAGCCTCCTACAAGCCAAGGGGAGCGTCCTAAGGAGAAAGGAAATCTATTCACCTTGATTTTGGATTTCCGGCCTCCAAGACTATGAGAAAATAAATTTCTGTTGCTTAAGCCACCCGGTCAGTGGTATTTTGTTACGGTGGGCATGGCAAACTAATACAAGCACTGGTGCATGTGAAATACCACTGTCAGGAAGTACAGTATCTCAGCACAAGAGGACTGGGGGGGACACGGGCGTGCCTTACCCACCCTCTGCTTTCTAGAGGTCACTCTACAGACCCCTGGTTAAAAATGGCCATTCTGAGTTTATCCCAACTCCCTTCCAAAAACCAACTGAAATGGTGATTTTTTTTTTTTTTTTTTAAGATGGGGTCTCGCTCTGTTGCCAGGCTGGAGTGCAATGGTGCAATCTTGGCTCACTGCAACCTCCAACTCCAGAGTTCAAGTGATTCTTCCACCTCAGCCTCCCGAGAGCTGGGACTACAGGCACATGCTATCACGCCCAGTTAATTTTTGTATTTTTAGTAAAGACGGGGTTTCACCATGTTAGCCAGGATGTCTTCATCTCTTGACCTTGTGATCCGCCTGCCTCAGCCTTCCAAAGTGCTGGGATTACAGGCGTGAGCCACCGCGCCAGGCCTAATGGTGAGTTGTTTTTCTTTTTTTATAATTCAGTCTCCATAGAGACCGCCAAAAATTGCCAACGCCGACTATATTTCAAGTCATCATGGCGGGGTATTGGGAAAAGTTTTCAATTAGCAATAATCGCACCTCGGATGAACCTCATTGGCTATGATACTGCCACTGCGCAAAGCTAATGGTGAGTTTTTTAAAAAGGTATACGCTCCCAGAAAATTGGAGAAAAGACAACAGCAATAAAATTTTGCAAGCTAGGCCAGGCGCAGTGGCTCACACCTGTAATCCCAGCACTTTGGGAGGCCAAGGTGGGCAGATCACTTAAGGTCAGGAGTTCAAGACCACCCTGGCCAACATGGCAAAACCCTGTCTCTACTAAGAATACAAAAAATTAGCCGGTGTGGTGGCGGGCACCTGTAGTCCCAGCTACTCAGTAGGCTGAGGCAGGAGAATTACTTGAACCCAGGAGGCAAATGTTGCAGTGCGCTATGATCGCACCACTGCACTCCAGCCTGGGTGACAGAGCAACACTCTGTCTCAAAAAAAATAAATAAATAAATTCCAAGCTACAGACAGATGGACAAGTGATAACTGATTCAGCAGAGCTGAGAAAGTTGACTCTCACATGAGGAGGAGATGAAGCTGAGATGCATACCACAGAACACATCAAAAGCTCAGGAACTGGCAGTACCAGATCCTTTGGAAGTGTGGGTGAATACAGGCTAAAAACAGGAAGATGGGTGGACAACTTGTTTGACAAGCAGTCAGATCCCAGATCCCCTCACCCCATGCTGCTAGGCAACTGCCTGCCCTACCCAAATGAACTGTGAAAAAGATAAAACAGGGTCTCTACACTGGGGAACACCAGGCATAGTTGAGGGAAAACCATACTGAAAATATGGCTTTCAGTGAAAGTTTTCATAATAAATGTTGAAATTGACAGCCTTCTTTATCACATGGTTCCAAGAAGGTTGGCAGCCAGGATTACATACTCTAGGAAAAGGCTGAAGACTCTTCACTGGGGAATCCTAAAGTCTCATGAGAAAAGAACTACAGTATTGGCATCTGGGAGGTCCCCCAATGACACACCACAGAGACGCGAGCCGCAAAATTCAGACTACGGGAAGCAACCCAACGACCATGCAGGTTTCTTCCACAAATAAATGCAAAGGGTGGGGCAGACACGGTGGCTTATGCTTCTAATCCCAGCACTTTGGGAGGCCAAGGCAGGAGGATATCTTCAGCCCAGGAGTTCAAGACCAGCCTGGGCAACATGGCAAGACTACTGTCTCCACAAAAAAAAAAAAAATTAGCCAGGCATGGTGGCGTGCACCTGTAGTCCCAGTCACTGAGGAAGCTGAGGTGGGAGGATTGCTTGAGCCTGGGAGATGGAGGTTGCAGTAAGCTGTGACTGTGCTACTGCACTCCATCCTGGGCATCAGAGCTAGACTCTGATTTCTGTTGCTTAAGCCTCCCGAGTAGCTGGGATTACAGGTGTGTGCCACCACGCCCAGGTAATTTTTGTATTTTTAGTAGAAATGGGATTTTACTATGTTGGCCAGGATGGTCTTGACCTTTGGACCTTGTGATCAACCCACCTCGGCCTCCCAAAGTACTGGGATTACAGGTGTGAGCCACCGTGCCTGGCCCCTGAGGTCCTCATTTAAACAAATGTGAACTATGACATAGACAAATGGGAACATTTGAAAACTAGGTATATGATGATATTAAGAAATAATTAATTTGGGGGTATGATAATGGCTTCATGTCTATGTTTTGAGATAGAATCCTTCTATGTCAGAGCAGGGATGGGCAAACCACAAGCCAGGGGCCAAAGCCAGCCTCTGCCTGTTTTTGCTAATAAAGTTTTACTGGAACACAGCCATGGCCATTCACTTCCATATTGTCCAATGGTTGCTTTTGTGCTACGATGGCAGAAGTGAGTAGTTGTGGCAGAAATCACTTAGCTTTCAAAGCCTAAAATACCTACTATCTGACCCTTTACAGAAAGTTTGCTGACCTGTGTTTTAGAGATACAAACTAACATACTTACAGATAAGTGATTTGAATATGAAGCAAATTTTCAACATAATCTGTGTTGATGGAAAACCCTGTTACATATAAACAAACCCAGAGCTGACCGTTGCCAGGTGAAGGGTGTGAAGAGGATCACAACAATATTCTCTTCTGTATATGTTTTCCATAATAAAAATTTTTTTAAAAAAATCAATCATGTAGGGGTTGAAATATACTGTAGTCACTTCGGAAAACAGTTTGGCAGTTCCTCAAAACTTAAACCTAGGATTTTCTATGACCCAGCAATTCCCTTCCTAGATATGCCCCCAAAAGAATTAAAACCACACATTCACACAAAAACCTGTGCGAATATGTTCACAGCAGCATTGTCTTAACAGCAAAAAAGCGAAACAACCCAAATGCCCATCAAGTGATGGGTGGGTAAACACAGAGTGCTCTGTCTATACGTGGGAGATGAGTCAGCCATAGAAAGTAATGACCCATGCAGCAACACGGATGAGCCTTGAAGTCATGATGCGGAGTGAAAGCAGCCAGTCATGAAAAGTCACATACCGTATGACTCCATTGACATGCAGTGCCCAGAACGAGTAAATCCACACAGACGGAACACAGAGTGGTGGCTGCCAGGGACCAGGAGCCGGGGACAGGGAAGGACTGCTAATGAGTATGGGATTTCATTTTGGGGCTGGGGAAATGTTCCAGAGCGAGAGTAGTGTTGGCTGTACAGCTCTATGAATATGCCATGAATCATGGAATTGCACATTTTTAAATGGTCAATTTATGGCATGTAAATTGTATCTCAACAAAGCTGCTAACTTAAAATTTGGTGCTTTAAACATTCTTCCTGTAACATGAATCGTCACACTTAAGAATGCCATCCAGAGCTGAGCAAGATGGCTCACACCTCGTAACCCTAGCACTTTGGGAGGCCGAGGTGGGTGGATCGTTTGAGCTCAGGAGTTCTAGACCAGCCTGGGCAACACAGTGAAACCCCATCTCTACAAAATATACCAAAATTAGCTGCATATAGCAGCATGCCCTGTAGTCCCAGCTACTCTGGAGGCTGAGGTGGGAGGATCACCTGAGCCCAGGAGGTAGGGTACCACTGCATCCAGCCTGGGTGATGGAGCAAGACCCTATTTCAAAAAAAAAAAAAAAAAAAAATGCCATTTGGTAAGTTTCCATTTTCACCGACCAAGTTTCCTTAAAGCCACATCTGGTACACCAAACTTGCCACACTTGTCCTCCTCTTCGGGGAGGGCTCACCCGTGCAGCCGTAGTTATAGATGTTGAAGGTCAGCGTGTCCATGATATTCTTCAGGCGTTTCATGAGAATGGAATCAGGCAGTGACTTCTTCAGTGACAGTCCGAAGACCTCTAAGAAGGCGATCAGGGAGTACTGGCACATGGCATTCACCAGGGCCATCTCGGACAGCACAAAGAACAGGATGGCCCCCCTCCTGGCTGCTGGCCGGTAGCCGTCCCGCAGCCTGTCAATGTCCAAGGCCGTCTTCTCCGCTAGCTTGAGTTTCTCTGAGACCTGAAGAAAAGAACAAGTGACCCTGGACACAGGAAGGCTGAGAAGTGGGCAGAGGGCAGGAGGGGAGGGGACAGCAGAGAGGTATGTGCAATGCTCCAGGGCTTTGAAAGCATCCAGGGACTGCAGGGGAGCGAGGGTCCACCCTCTTGTAGGATGAGGTGGCTATCTGTGGCTGACGCCCCTGCACCTATGGCCCCTTCCTCTAGTAATGCTGCTTGTAAGTCTCCAAGTACTGCCCTCTCCCTTTTCATCCCATATATGGGGTTCCATCCCTGACACCAGGAGAAGACCATGTGACCCAGGCCCAGCCAACTTGAGCCTAGCATCCCCAAGCTCCCAGGACTGGTTTGGAGTAGAAACGACTTCAGCGACTCTTGGGACCTTCACAGTAGGAACAGGAAGATTCTCACTTATCCCTTTGGGTTTGGACCTGAGAGGACGTGAGGCCAGACCAGTCTTATGACCATGTGGGGAGCTGGCAGAGAATCAAGCCAACCCAGTAGAAAGCCCAGCCCAGAAATGGAGAGGAATCAAGTCCTCCTGGGATTTTTGAAGTCCTAGATCCAACCCTACCTGAAGCTATCTCTGGACTTTTCAGCTTTCTCAGCAGATAACTTCCCTGTTGACTTAAGCCAGGCAGGGCTGGGTTTTCTATCACTCTCAAGAGACTGACCATGCCCCAGGGACGCTGGGAACACCTTTAGGGCTCTCCTCCCCACAGCACATCCCAACAGAGGTGGCTTTTTATCCCTGAGATCACAGAGCTGTTTTCTTATTGAATAGAAAAGGAAATGGACGCTCCAAGGGCGCATGCAGGCCCTGCCTGGCTCAGGGCCTTTTCTGCTGTGGTTGCTACCTCTGTTGCCTTGGATTTGGTCTCCTCCAGGGTGTGCACCAGGTCCACGTTGTCCAGCATGTTCCCGGTGGACGTGGCCAGCTCCCGAAGGAGGGAATCTTCCAGGTCCTTGAGCAGATTCTTGTTCTCGCTGGTCTCCTGGATGAGGTGCTCCCGCTGCTCCTCCAGCTCCCGCCTCTCATAAGCCACCAGCACGCTCAGCAGCTGGTCCTCTAGGCCCTTCAGTGTGACTGTGGGGGACAGCGAGAGGCCCTCACCACCTGCAGCCCGACAAGCTGGTCACTGTCTCTCCCCCTGCCCTGCTGTGATGGGACAAGCTCAGCGTGGGTCTCAGCCAGCATGTCAGAGGCATGAGGATTCATCACCCACCAAAGTCACTCTACAGCAGCACGGTGGCAGACACAGAGCAAAATAGCAACGCTGTGGTGCAGAGTGGTGGACAAAAAGAAAAAACGCACTGAAAGAAAACCCAGGCTTCCACAGATTAGGGGCCATAGTTCAAAGTACACCCAGACCTGGCACAGTGGTTCATGCCTGTAATCCCAGTACTTTGGGAGGCAGAGGTGGCAGGATCACTTGAGCCCAGAAGTTTGAGACCAGACTAGGAAACACAGAGAAACCTCATCTGAGAAAAGGGAAAGGAAGGGGAGGGAGAAAGGGAAGGAAGGAATGAAGGAAGGAAAGGAAGGAAGGGAAGGGAGGGGAAGGCAAAGGAAAGAGAGAAAAATAGAAATATAGACAAAGAAAGAAAAAAGAAGAAAGAAGAAAGAAAGAAGAAAGAAAGAAAGAAAGAGAAAAGAAAAAAGGAAGGAAAGTAGGTCATACAAATCAAATCAATGTGTTTAAGCAGGTGCATGACAACCTTAGAGAATGTGAGAGATAACATCCAATTTCTATCAGAATTCAACTTGCAGGAAGAATAAAAATTCAAAATCACAACCTGTATTTTAAATCCACGAATACAGAGTAACTTCCTGCCCCCACAGACAGAGGTCCCACCCTATTCCACGTGTGAACACATGAGCCCATGGCCTGGTCTCAGGGTGCCTCCAGACATGTAACTCATGGCCCCACACCTTCTAAGTGGTACCTAATCATTAAGAGCCGACTAGTCCAGATGTGCCTATGAGAATGATCTGGGGTCACTGAGTGAAATTACATCCCATGAAAGTCTTGATCTCAGATTGTGGTCTCCATAATAACCACCTTAATAAACAATGGAGGTTCTACACATTCTTACCTGTGTAATTGATCACCATGGCTTTCCCAAACACGGATGGGGAATATCTGGGATTGGCCAGCTTGGTGTTTAGATACAGTCTGAAATTTGAATCATAGTCAACTTCCTTGTCTCCCAGGATGATAAACTGCCGTCCTTGGGAGACTTTTATATTTTTTTCTAAGACGTTATCAATCACAGGATCGATGTATTCATCAACATCGTGGAACAGGAAAGGGGTCCCGTACTTTATGGACATCTCCAGCTGCTTGAGGAAGTCAGGGTCGTTAAAGGAAGCGACCTGGAAGAGAGAGGAGGCAGATGCAGAAACCCAGCATGTTTAACTGCGGCCCTGCCAAATATAACCAGGGAAGGGCTTGGAAGTGAGAAGTAGATGAGCCAGGAACTTGGAGGGGCCAGAGGTGGAAAGAAGGGAGCAGCGAGGGGTAGATAACATGTACACACCACGAGGTCCAAGCTCAACGCAGGATCTTGCTCAAACAGGGTGGAGAGGAAAGGAAGAGGATTCCTCAGCCCCTCTCCCTGTAAGCTAGAACCCCTCCCCTTTGAGAGACAGGGTAGGCATTGGAATTGGGCTAGGAGCAGGCTGACAATTTCAGCGCTCCCTGGCAGGCTGAGGGAAGAGGGAGTCTAGGAAAGTTCCTGCCCTCACAGTGTTTGCTCCACGATAGCTACATGTGTTCCCCTGACCTTGGAACACAATGGGCTTCCCCTAACAGCATGAAAATACCTGGGATCAAGGACCAGAAAAAATAAGGAAAAGCTAAAACCGAAAATCATTAATTTGTTCATTAGTTCAGCAAAAAGTGATTGGGATGCCCCAGCAATTCCACTCCTAGGTATCAACCCAAGAGAAATGAAAACATGTGTCCATGTAAAAATGCGCACACCAATGTTCACAGCGGCATTCTTCAAACACCCAAAAAGTGGGAACAGCCCAGCTGCCCCTCAGTGAGTGGCTGGGTATACACAATGTGTTCTATTCACACACCGGAACAGAATGCAGCCCGAGGAAGGAATGGCGCACTGACCACGCTGCAGCAAGCGCGGACCTTGAAGACATCATGCTGAGTGAAAGGCGCCAGAACAAAAGGCCATATAGTGTCTGATTCCAATCCTAGCCAATGTCCAGAAGAGGCAGATTCACGACAGAAAGAAGATGAGTGGCTGCCGGGGCCTCGCGGAGGGAGAAATGGAGGGACTGGAGGGGTGATGCTAAAGGATGTAGCATGTCTTTTGGGGATAATAAAAATGTTCTAAAATTGACTCTGGTGATTGGTATACAACTCTGTAAACATACTCAAACTCACACTGAGTTGTGTGCTTTCGGTGGAGGAATGCTGTGGTGTGTGAATTCTATCGCATCAAGCTATTACTCTCACCTCTCCTCACTGCGTCCCTGTCCCCCACCTCAGCTGCAAAGAACAGTGACCGAGCACCCAGACCACAAGCCCCACACTGGGCGGAGGAACACGAGGCTGAGAAAAGCAGGACCTTCGCCTCCAGGGTACAGAGTTCAAGGTGGTTCCAGCTGCCCGGGCAGCCCCAAGGGGCGGAGGCGGAGGCGGAGGCGGGAGGAGGGCTCCGCATGGGGTCAGGGTGGGAGCATTTATAGCCCGGCTTCAAGGAGGATAGGGGCTGCCAGGTACAGAGGCAGGAGGAACCCTCTCCAGAGAACGGGCAGCGGGGGCAGATGCCACCCCAGGAGGAGCCGCTGTACCCGCAGATTATTCTTCTCCTCTTTTCTCTTGATCCAGTTGAGGGCCTGCTGCTGGGGGTCAATGCAGAGAGGGAAGCGGCTGGCCCTGGTGGTGAGGATGCCATTCTGAACAGACAGCTCATCGGGGGGAAGGCCCTGGGACCCCCACCTGGAAGAAACAGCCATTGGGAAATGCATTTTTCTCACCAATTTGTGAGCCAAGGGCTAAGGGTGGCAGGACTGGCCTTCCAGAACAATCTTCCCATCTCCAGGCTGCACAAGCCTCCTTGCACTCCAGAGAGAACCACTCCAGACTGCGTCTGCAGCTCCTCCCGCCACTTCCAGGCAGTCAAGCCAGCTACGGTCCTGGCGACGACCCCAGGCCATCGCCTCCTTCCAGGGTGACACCCACGTAGACCCCCTCCCTCCTGCTGGCTCAGGGCGACACACACCTGCTGATCTCAACGTCATCCGTGAGCAGGCTTTCCAGCCGGAAAGGCTGGCTCAGGGGGATCTCCCGCTCCAGCAGGTCATTTTGCCAAATCTGATGAACCATCTCGTCTCGGAACTCCCAGGTGAAGGCTCCCTCGTAGCTCAGGAAAGCTGCGCACAGCAGGCAGTCCCCTAGCAGCTTCACGCGCCGGTGCATCAGCTCATCCAAGTCATTCAGCCACCTGGCACCAGAGGAGAGGGAGGCTGCCGTGAGTAGTTTACCTTCCGGCCACAACCAAAGGAGCATTCCAGAAGAGGCAACTCGACGCCTTGCTAACGGGGCTAGCCAGACAGAAACATTTTTTTGAGATACTCTTTCCTCGTGAGGAACAGAGACCAACAGCTCATCTTGCAATCCCCACCCCAGTGAACCTGGCGTTTGGAGCCAGTGTCAAGCAGGGGCCCGGGAAAGGATTTCGGTCTTTATTAAGCAGTAATCCCACGGTGTGGATCATATTAAGTAGCAATCACATTGTGAGGATCACATTAAGTAGTAATCACATTGTTTCCGAAGCCTTAATCAAAGGCATATAAACCAGCCCGGCAGAGCTAACAAGTTCTGGCTTCACTCGAGGACTGAATTCCACCCAAGATAAAAGCAAGCATCTGTTTCATTTGGCCTCTTCCAGCACATGCCCCAGGACTTAGGTTTAGAAATATTGAAAACTATGTGTTTCCCACATGCAGACAACATTTGTCAGTGTTTTCCACACCACATTTACAGATGCCAGGTTCAAAACTGCTGCCCTATTTGGTGAATAAGCTGTGGCCAAGCGGTCTTGCCCACGAATATCATAGCCCCATCACTTCTTCAGATTGAAGCCCAGGACTGAACAAACCACTGGAACCCTTGGAAGGCATCTGTGCAGTGACAGAGATGGGCTTCTCCCACAGACTCTTCTAGAAAGAACCCAGGGGTTAAAGGTCACCAAGAAGCAAACACTCCCAAAACCCAGAGCACCTTGCTGAATGCTATGGATGTCTCCCTATCTCCACAGCTGCACTCCCACCTCAACCCCGAGTAATTAGTAAATAACACTCAGTACCTAATAAAAGCAAGACTCTATAAAATAGCCATTAGCCGCCATAAACATGATAATAGTGAAATAAGACCTGGTCACATGGTTTTCACATTAAAAACACAACATGAGATAAAGAATCAACATGGCGAGAAACTCTGTGGGTGACGTCCATTTACAAACCACAACAGGGGGGCTCGTGAGCCGCGCTGACCTGATGTTTTCTGACCCCAGGCCCGAGATGAGTTTGTCGGCAGCAATCAGCCGCCTCTCCATGATCTCGGCTTCTTCCTGCAGCTTCTGCTTCTCCAGTATGGCGGCCTCGTATTTGGCACCCAACGTTTCCAGCTCTTTCTGAATTGCTGCCAACTCATTCTGGATCCTTTCCAGCTCCCGTTTAGTGAGGTAAAAATTCCGCTCCAGCCTGGCCACCTAAGTGAAGACCATTTGCAAAAAGATGGGGACAAGGACCACGGTGGGGCCGGGATCCAACGGCCTCCAACCAGGCCACATGTCCAAACCGCTCTAATGGTGTCTTCCATAAATATCAAACAGTCCCATTAATTAAGATTGATGACACGTGGCTTCTTAGTTTCTTCAACTGTTTGCTGCAAAAACTCTATGTCCTTTTAGAAGATACCTGACACCCAAGTTATCATATGGTTTTACTTTCATGCGTACTGAGGCCACAGTAAGATGACACTGTGGTTCTAAGTCAAAAACGCAGAAGAATTGGCTGGTCGAGGTGGCTCACACCTGTAATCCCAGCACTTTGGGAGTCTGAGGCGGGCAGATCACAAGGTCAGGAGTTCAAGGCCAGGCTGGCCAGTGCGGCGAAACCCCATCTCTACTAAGAATACAAAAATCAGCCAGGCATGGTGGCATGCACCTGTAGTCCCAGCTACTTGGGAGGCTGAGGCAGAAGAATTGCTTGAACCCTGGAGGCGGAGGTTGCAGTGAGCTGAGATCACGCCACTGCACTCCA